AGAGAGAGAGAGAGAGAGAGAGAGAGAGAGAGAGAGAGAGAGAGAGAGAGAGAGATCAAAACATTCCAAGGCCGAAGAAACACAAACACATGTGCATCTCATGTTCTTCTGGCCGCAGCAAGGCCGCGGGGCAAACGTTTTTGGTCGCATGTGCATCCACTTGTATTTCCGAATTCGTAAGGAATTCTGAAGTACCCCTCCACCAAAAGTTTTTGGTCGCATTGCAATTCTAGACAACTAAGACAACATATTTTTTCGATAGATTTCTTTTGTTTTTATTTTTTATCTCCGAGAGCCAACGAAGTTGCTGCCAATGCACTGAAATATAACACCCACCGTGCACTATGTGCGTATACGACAGCCGGGCGTTATTTTCAGGTGAAGACAGTAGTCTGTATAATAATGCTGTGCACCGAGCTGCAGAACGGACACCTAATCAGCTACATTTGGGTTGGGAGGCTAGAACAGCTGTTGATTTCCTCCTACCTGACAACAGACCCACTGCAGCACCCGTAGCATTGAATTTGCTATGAAGTAAGAGATAATGCTGCAGGATACCATTGAGCAGATTCAGAAGTCTCAAGATGCTATGATAGCATCAGAGAGCAAACACAGACGAGAGTCTTAAGTTTCAGGTCGGAGAGAGGGTCTGGGTAAAATCTTCCTAGTTCACACCCGAAGTGAACATCTCACGGAAACTGATGCTGCAATATTTTGGGCGATGGGAGGTCTTGGACATTGTGGGACCTGACCCTGATGGCTCATCATACATCAACCGGTTCCTTCTCACCTACGTACCTATCCAGTCTTCCACGCTTTGAAACTCCTTCCTTTTTCTAAGACTGAGGAGTTCCCTTTGGAAAAATCAATGCTGGCCCCAACCATGGATGGACAAGTGGACATCGATCAGATCGTTGAGCACAGACATATGCCTGTAGTACCCTGTACCGAAGCCAAGTGGCAGAGGAAGACTGCTGAAATCACAAATGCAGTTCAGGGTCGCCTCCGGGCATCACTTGGATCCGAAACAAGGTCGATGGTATACAAGAGAAGAGCTGATGAGAACAGCTCCAGGAGCTTTGTCTGCCAATGAGAGAGGGTTGGAGGGCAAACAGCCAGCGGACTGAAGGTTTCTCTCAAGACTTTTGAAACAGCGGGGCAGGGAGTGCAGAGCATGAGGCCTTTGGCAGAGGTTTGAAATGGGCTGCGCCCAATGGAAACTGTCTGAGCCCACCCTAAATGAAGGCAGGGCCCTGAAAATTTGTCGAGGCGTGTTTCGGGAGGCTGGCATGATTAAACGGGGCCCCCATGGGTTGGTTGCTGCATGCAGCATCTGCAACTGACGGGTAGACTCGATTGGTTAGAGATGCTTGGTCGCAGCGTGTGTACCAAGGCCGACGGTTCATACAGTTAAGCGGCCCTGGGCACAGCTACTGGGACAGAGGTTGAGCCTCCAGAGCCAGTCCTCGCCCGGCCAGACAGCACAAAAGCAAGTAAGGCTCACTCACTTGCACACTCTCTTGCTGTCTTGACGCGGCAGGCTGGAGGAGAGCTCGCTCGCTGAAGGAAGGGCATGCAGATGAAGGAAAGCTCTGGCGGGGCGCGAGGCAGGAGCTGTGAGAAAGCAGCCTAGAAGCCTATCAGCCACAGTCGAGCTTGACTAACACCAGCCATTGGAGGAAGGCGAGGTCCATAGGGAGAAGGGGCTGTGTGGTAGGGGCGGACGTGAGCGACGTTGGGGGAGAGAGAGAGAGAGAGAGAGAGAGAGAGAGAGAGAGAGAGAGAGAGAGAGAGAGAGAGAGAGAGCTCACCTGGTGACGAAGAGCGGCCCGCACCATCGGAGTCTTCATTCGTCATCGGGCATGCCGTACTTCCTGAAGACCTGTTGTCGTCATTAGGTGCTAGGTGTCTAGTTGCTGTTTGCTTGTAGCCTGGGCGCTGAGGACCATATGGGAGAGATACACTGGGGAACCTTGATTTTGGAGGTGAGAAGAGGGCTTACATCGTCCATTGTCTTCATTGCTTTGCTCCTATTTGGTGTATATCTTGGTGCATTCTGCTTTCTGTTCGGGGATATGACTATCTGGCTATCGATGGGATGAGGCAATTTGGTTTCTGTAATTCGCATTTCTCATTTTCCTTGCACAAGGCTCTATGTAATTCAAATGTGAACGTTCAGCCTTCGAGTCAGTTTGAGATGGGTGGGCGGATCAGGGTGGGAGATGGTTCCCAGGCGGCCGGACTGCATCCCGTAGTTTGGAGGATTAACAGACTCTCTATGCCCCAGACTTGTTTCCCTTCATTTTCTGCAGATGTAGCTTCTCTTTTTGTTTGTAAAGATCTCATAGACATACCAATAATGAAATTCTCTGTAAATTGTTGAAACACTTTGCATCAACAGTGACAGTCCTTGATAAAGTGTCCCTTCTTCTTGCAATGCAAGCAGACCTCGCAACCCGTGCATGCTTGCCAAGCCTCTTGGGTAATCTTCAGATGTTCCTCGGGCTTGGTCTCCTTTCTTGAAAGATGAGGGGTGCATGTAGCCCCTTTTGGGAAGTTAGGAGGCTATGGTTTCTTTGCAAATTTGTCATATCCATTGTAAGAGTCAATGGACTCCTTTTGCGAGCCTGTTAAAGAATCAGTGAGTTCACTGTCTCAGGGACTTTCAGACCTTCGTGCCGTTGTGGAAGTGCTGTTGCATTATTGTGAGACTCAGCATGAACGGAAGGGCAGCGAGTTAGAGTTTAGGAGTCTATGGCGCCCAACGGCATAGTAGTTAGCGGAGAGATCGTGAGGGAGAGAGATAGGTGAAGACATTCCTAAAGAGAAGCCAGGAGAGAGAGAGAGAGAGAGAGAGAGAGAGAGAGAGAGAGAGA